GGGCGGGCCGGCGTGGCGCACCCTCGGCCATCTGGCCTGGCCGCCGGACTCCTCCCACCCTCCCTTAGGCCCTAGACTGGCGGCCCCGGGGATCCTTATTCGCCCCCAAGCCGCGGAAGCCCGGATCGACCCTATCGCCTCCCCGCGGGCCCAACTGGTGCACTCGTTCCCCGCTGTGCGCGCAGCCCCAGGCCCACCGAGGACTAGCTCCCCGCGCACTTGTCTAGGTGACTGTGACTTAGGCCTCTAAGGTTTAACTGAGCCTCAGTTAAGTGAGATTCTTTCCAGTTGTTTTTCATTTTCAAGAAAATAAAAGGCTATTTACGTTCTTTTATATTCTCCCCACATTTAGGGGGTCCGAGAAATTATCTCCTGGGAAGGCAGTGTGCCACTGAGTCCTCCCGCCAGGAATGTCTAAGGGCCCCAAGGAATTGTCATCAGGCTAACAACCTTAGCCACAATTTCAACCAAATTTTGGAGTTTATTTTATTCTAAAAATGGGAGTTTCCCCCCGAGCTTTTTATGATTTTTAAAAACTCAATTTGGAAATGATCTTATAGAGTCGAAAATTTTCAGATTTATGATGTTTTGCAAGCTTTAAACAAAGCAGATATAGATGGCTCAGTGCTATTGCTTTTCTTAGCATCTCTGAGGTAGAATTAATACTTCCCCTTCTAGAACTTAACCCAGGCCTTCTACCTTTCTGGCTCGGGTGAAAAGTTTGGGTATTCACTTAGACATAAGGTGAATTGATGGCTTGATAGATGGATAGGTAATAAACATTGTTAAATGTTGATAAAATCCAAGTGGTGGGGATAAGGCCATGATGATGGTATAGTAAAGTTCGATTTTTCTGTATATTTGAAAGCTTTTCATTCTAAAATATCAAGGAGTAAGGTTGGTTTTATGTCAGACTACATCAAATCCCTGCTGTGTTGTGTATAGGCTGTGAGGTTGAAACAAAATGCCCAATACTCAGATTACAGTAGTCCCCCCTTCGCTTTTCAATGGTTTGGTCTCTGCCCTCTGCATTTTCAGTTATCTGTGGTCAAACACGTCTGAAAATAGTAAATGGAAAATTACAGAAATTATAAGTTTTAAATTGTGCCTTGTTCTGAATAGCCTGATGAAATCTGCTCCCCTGCTCCCTCCTGCCAAAAGGAGACTCATCCCTTTGTCCAGCACATTTATGCTAATATAGTACAATAAGATATTTTAGAGAGAGATCACACTCACATAACTTTTATTATAGTCTATTGTTATAATTCTGTTTTATTATTAATTATTGTTAATCTCTTCCTATACTCAATTTACAAATTAAACTTTATCATAGGTGTGTATATATTTACAGGGGAAAATAAGCATACATAGGTTTTAGGCAATCCATTGGGGGAGGTTCTTGGAACATACCCCCTGCTGATAAGGGAGTACAATGATATGGGGGAACTCCTATACTTCATTTTCTCCGCCTTGTAATATGGGTAATTACCAATCCCAAAGAGTTGGTAAGAAGTGCCAAGAGCCCCCACCCCTGCACTTCTATAAACCCTTAAATCAATGGCGGCCCCCAGTGGTGGGAGAAAGCAATGCAAGCCAGCAGCAGGTTCAAAATCGCTGAACTCCTTTAACAGCGGGGAGCAGCGGCATCTCTGTTTACTTGCGAAGGGGTGGCCCTCAGGATATGTATGGCCTAACCTGGAAACTCTTAATGCATGGCTCCGATCGGAGAAGGCGTTTCAAGAATACACCCTCCCCATGCCTGCTAGTTTTCTAGTGGTCTGTTCTAGTGGTCTGAGACTTTTACGCCCCAAAATGGCAACCATATTCTCTGATTGCATCCCACCCTAGGCTGTTTACTTCTATTGCCAGTGTCATATTAGGAAATGCCAGCATTACAGCTGAACCCTGAGGAAACCAGCTGTAAAATATGCGGACTTAAACGAGGAGAAGCAGTACAAGTGTGCAGTGTTGCTTAGCGACTGAGGACAGCCAGCCAAAGCGCCAGATACTAGAGAGACATCGCCCGCCCCACGCTGGCAAAATTCCAGATCTAAGTAAGCGTGGGGGGCAGGGCCTCGCGGCACCCCGCCCCCGACCCTTTGTGACGTAAGATAATGCCTGCCACGCGTCGGAACTCCGCTTCCTCGGCGGCCACGCGATGCCAGTGACAAGCGGGAGGGAAAGCACTGGTCATCCTGGGCCGACTTCAGGAATCATGCATTTCTTACTCAGATTAATTGTTTTCTTTTACGTGTGGGGCATTTTTACTGCTCAAGGACAAAAAGAAGAGAGCACAGAAGTGAAAATCGAAGTTTTGCATCGTCCAGAAAACTGTTCTAAGACAAGTAAGAAGGGAGACCTGCTAAATGCCCATTACGACGGCTACTTGGCTAAAGACGGCTCGAAATTCTACTGCAGGTAAGAAATGCTGCTAACAGCACCCACATCCAGTTGATGCACGACATCTAACCTCCCAATACTAAGCAGAAGCTGGTAGGTTTTTTGGTCGGTTCTTTTTTTAACGGTAAGAGTTGAGCCTTTTATTTCTGGGGAGAAGAGGAGATATCAGAGAAGATGCAGTAGTTCCTATTAAACTGAATATTACTTTTTAAATTACTGAAAATGTTGCCCCAAAAAATTATCAAAAAATACATTCTGTCTACACACACCCTCGACCCCCACAACTACCCTTGAGACCTGTAGAAGTAAATCAAGGTACTGTCTGTAAGGACGTTTACGCTTTACCTTTGCTGTGCTTTGGGGTCTGTTAGCAGAAGATTACATAGGGTAGTTCAAGGGATTTTATCTGGCCTCCCGAAGCACCATGCTTTCAAGCCGGGGGCCAATTTCCAAGTGTATCAAGAAGCCCCTACAACAGTGACTTTCCAGGTTGACTTCTGAGCCCTGTGTCTTGTTGACTTCTGAGCCCTGTGTCTTGTTGACTTCTGAGCCCTGTGTCCTTCCGCCTGACCCCACATCCCACCACCGCCTACTCTGATTTAATTGATGGTTTATTACTAAGAGAGAGAACATCTTTTTTCATCTTTACTGTTATTACTCTATAAAAATAGGATTACGGAAAGTTAATTCTTTCCATTTAGAAGAAAATAGAGAAATTTAATGAGAAGAAAAGCTACAAATTTTAAATACATTTCAAAAGCCTTTTTGAGGCTGAACCTGCACCATCATTTTTTTTTTAGAACAAATCCAGAGAGGTTAAATGAATTATTTGAACAAGTCATGCAGCTAGGTAGAGGCAGGAGACCCATTAAAAAGTTAACTGTTGAATAGTTTTTGTAAAGATGACAAAAAGAAAATGAGATGACTGCTAATGACTGGCTTTGGACAAATCATACCTCTTTCTGACTATTATGAGGTAAGTTTGAGCCAAACACCCCACCAAGGAGTTCAGAATGAGTACTTATATGGGAAAAGAGATGGTTAGAGAGGACTCCAATTTCTGTATAAATAAATGCCCAGTGGTATTTTAAAGCTGGATTTCATTTTTCTCAAAATCAGCTTACCTAAGTTTTGCTTTTTATTACAGCCGGACGCAAAATGAAGGCCACCCCAAATGGTTTGTTCTTGGTGTTGGGCAAGTCATAAAAGGCCTTGACATTGCTATGATGGATATGTGCCCCGGAGAGAAGCGAAAAGTGATTATACCCCCTTCATTTGCGTATGGAAAGGAAGGCTATGGTAAGGTGTTTTAATATTTATATCTCTATATTTAAAAGTAAATCACAGACTTCTGAGTATATATCCAAAAGAATTGAAAACAGGGTCTCAAAGTGATATTTTGTACACCCATATTCATAGCAGCACTATTCACAAGAGCCAAAAAGTAAAAATAACCCGGGTCCAATTGACAGATGAATGGAGAAACAAAATGTATATAATGGAATGTTATTCGGCCTTAAAAAGGAAGGCAATTCTGACATATGCTATAACATGGATAAACCTGAGTACATTATGCTAAGTGAAATAAGCTAATCACAGAAAACAAATACTATATGATTCCACTTATATAAAGTATCTAGAATAGCCAAATTCGTTGAGACAGAAAGAGAAGGATGGTTGCCAGAGCCTAGGGAGAGGGTGGAATAGGGAGTAATTATTTAATGGGTATCAAGTTTCAGTTTTGCAAGATGAAATAGTTTTGGAGAGTGATTGTACAACAATGAATATATTTAACACTACTGAACTGTATGCTTAAAATGGTTACACTGGTAAAGATTATGTTACATGTATTTTCCCACAATTAAAAATGTTTGAATCTCTAAAAAACATTAAAATAAAAAATTGTAGAGGAAATAAATATAGAACTGTAGGATACAATAAGCTTTAACTGTATCTAGAGCAGTCCAGCCCAGTCCCCTCTTATTACATCTAAAGAAAATAAGACATTGTTGGAATACAGATCTCTGACCAGAGTTCTTTCTCTCCATAGTGACAACACTCATAATGATCGTGTATATTCTATAAGCTCTACCTTAGTCATTTTTATTTGTTTTTAGCATAATGTTTGTTTTTAACATAAATATCTATAACACATACTTTTAGTAAGCAGTACCAGTGTCAAATTGGTAAAACTCAGGAAACGAATATATTATTTTAGAGTAAAAGGGCAGCACTGGGACATTGTAAAAAGAACATCTGAAATAGCTGTCGGTCGCTATTACTCAAATTGAGGAGAAGCCTTGAAATATTGGAAGAATTGAACTGCTTTTTTCAATATGTTATCTATTTTTAAAATCCTAGAGTGAAATCTGAAACCCTAGGTAAAGTAGATAAATAAGGAAAATGTTTTAACGCATATGAGGACTCTTACCAATCAATAATAAAACAACCTGTCCTTAGAAATGGGCAAATTTATAAACAAGTGGTCCACTAACAAAAAAATGCAGATGACTTTTACATTTATGAGAATACTTAATTTTATTCATAATTGAAGAAAGGGAAATTAAAACTAAAATGAGACACAATTTTCACCCTTCAGATTAGTAAAGACATAAAAGTTGGCAAAGGCATGGAAAAACCAGCAGTCTGATGCATTACTGGGAACATAAATCATTCTACCTCTCTAGTACCTTTTATCAAATTTAAAACGCACAAACCCTCTGACCCAGTAGTTCCATTTCCAGTAATGTGCACAGAGGTATATGTAAAAGAACATTAAATGCAGACTTCTTGATAGCAAAAGATGGGAAACTACCTGAGTATCCATCAATAAGAAATTAGTTGAATAAATTATGGTATATCTATACAATGGATTATAGTGCAGCCAGTAAAAAGAATGAAGTTAAGCCATATGTAAAGTGAGATAGAACATATTATTGCAATGAATATTTATTGAGCCTCAATGCCAGGCTCTGTTTTAGGCCCTGAGCATAAGGCAGTGTACACAGCAGAAAAAATTTTCTTTTCTCAGTGAGCTTACTTGTGAGGAGAGGAATCTCACAAATGCATCATGTATCTACATGGGCTCTACCTGGAAAGATACAGGGACATTAAGTGGTCCTAGGAAAGAAGTCTTAGGGTTAAGGGTGAGGAGATTTCTTCTTGTTCTGTAATGTTTTGTACTGTTTAAACTTTTCACCATGTGCATGTATTAATTTTTCCAAATTAAATTTTTAAAAATCACTAAAATTAAAAGTGGAGCAGAATAGAGAACTTTTTTGAAGGGGAAAATACTGGCAGTCTGTCAGAGGGACAGTTTCCATCTTGCATTCTCATTTAAGTCCTTGCTTCCTACTGCTGTCTGAAGATGATAAAGAATCTTTACCTTCTCGTTCTATTTAGAACTCTTGCCAACTCCACTTATTTGAAATATTTAGTATACAATTAAAGTAATTAAAGATTGATTTTCAGTAATGAGCTATTGTCTCCCAACAATGAGCTATTAACTCCCAAGTATTTCATTGAAATGTCATGCTCTCTTTGAGGCTGTTGGTTTACTCATTATGAGTAGTGATTCCCTTACCTCTTATGAGTAGTGATTCCCTTACCTCTTCTTCCCCAGAAGGAGCGGGAATCACTGTTCCAAATTGGACTGGAGGGAGGTTGGTTGTGCAAGTCAGACCCAATCATATTTAAACTCCTAAAGAGACAATTCCAGGTAACTACAGCTTCATTTTCAATGCTTTTGCCAATCATTTGGTTCTATTAAAATAGCTCCCACGGAACCATAATTTCTATATCCTATTTTTAGTTGTAGAGGAAGCTAGCGGGGAGAGACAGAGAGAGAGACAGAGACAGAGAGAGAGGAGGGGGAGGGAGGGAGAGAGAAGAGAGGAAAGGAGGGAGGGAGGGAGAGAACGCATGCACGAACTTTGGTCTTATGGTATTTCACAATTTCACATGGAGAAGATTTAAATTGAATGCAATACTTGTACTAAAAAAAATGTCATAGGTTGAGGCCAATTCTAGGCAAAATGACACAGGCAAAGTTTGCCTTTCAGTCTCTTTAATCTCACTTTCAGAGTTTCCCTTTCTCTCTTGTGTTCTCATCAGATGCCTCCACATTCTGCCTACTACTTGAGCACCCACTCTCCTATCAACTTAGAACACCCACATCCCTCATCTATAAGTGCTCATCCTGGGTCTTGTTATCTTAAGGCAAACGACTGCTTAGTTTATCCTTTCTGTAAACTAATTAGATATGAACAACTACCAAGGCTGCCTAAGTTATTAATAAACTAGACCCTTGCTGCAGAGATTTGGAAATTTGACTTTAAAAAGTTGGTCCATATTCAATTTGAAGTGTCTCTGATAAACATAAAAATAATGAATCTCACTAGTACCACCAACACCTTCATTTTACATGTAAGGAAACTGAGGCCCAAACAAAAGTGTGTCCTTTAGAATGTAGTTAACTGCTAGTTTCCCTGCTTTACAATAGTTTGGATTAGATTATTTTACAAGTTGCAGTGTAGACTATAAATAACTGCTTACCAAACAACTTCTCAGTCAAATAAGCTTTTTAAAGTAAGTTGTTATTAAGAGCTAACATTAGCTATAACTTTATTTTAGGTAGTACTTGAAGAAGTCTTTTCCCTGCACAATGTCCTTGCTTCATGTCACAGAGCACCCCTGCATGTCTTGAAATGCATGTGACTTGTTAGTGCTTTAATTAACAATACATGTGGTATGTATAAATTCTTTACATTAACTCCTATGTCTTTGATCTGCTTCTCTAAATACAAGTAATTCAATAGCAAATGCATTTTTTTCTCTTTATACTGTTGTTTTTTGCAAGAAGAACCTAGTTGGCAATATTTCCTATGTTTACAATAGAATTGTTCAGAAACTTCTATATTTTTTCTTAAGAAATTTGAATTTGTGTTTTGAATTTGCTTTTAATTTTTGTTAAGAGAGATAGTTATTTTCTGTTACAAGGAGATAATAACTTGACAGAACAGGAATTGGTTTTGGAAAATTGGTCGTTGAATTAATCTCCAGCTCTTTTACTCTAAAGTCAGGTAATATGTGATACTTTGGTTGGAATGGCTGCATTAGCCACGTGATGCCTGGGGTAGATTTTTCTATGTCCTGGCTTTGGAGAGTACTGATGGACTTCTTTTTGGGCTGTAACTTTCAAGCTCTTTTCTCTTTGGATTATATAAACACTTGAACAAGAATTCTGGGGTTTTTTTTGTTTGTTTATTTTTTATTAAAGAAATTACTGTTTCCTTCAGCGAACAAACTTAGCCATTTTTTAAATAAATGGTAGAGATTATTCATTCAACAAATATTTGAGTGACTAGAATAGGGCACTCAGCGAGACTCTGGGAATATAGCAATGACATAAGCCACTCACTGCCTTTTAGCAAGTCACTTCTACAGGGCAATTTTTTTGAAATGGTCATTTGAACTAGCCTATAGCTTGCTAAAATCATTTGTGACATTAGTTAATAATTAAGGCTAACTTTATTAAGGAGAACAATTCAACTTAATACTTAAAATTTTTTATTGTGTTCAGTAATCTCTTCATAAAATTGTTACTGGTTTATTCTGTCATTGCACTTATTTTTTAATGTCTATAAAGAATTTGAATTTGAATAGTATAAATTTATTTATACTTCTAAATAACTACAAAAAGTCATTTTCTAAAAGATTACTGATCTGTACTTTGAAATTTTCCTATCCATGAGTTTCTTCTCTGTACCAACTCTCTCTTGCATAATGATGGGGGGGATATATTAATAAAAATTACCTGATTTATATTTATTTTAATTTAATCAGGAAATAGTGGTCCCCGGGTCCTTAGAACTGACATGTTTTAAAACCATACGTATTTAGAAAGTATTTAGAAAATAATTTTTATAAATATGAAATAATATAATACTATAATGGCTACTTGTGAATAAATATTTGAACATTATCTTCACGTAAGTTAAACTATTGAAATTTATACCTTTAATAGAAGGCAAGATTCCACCTGATGCAACATTGATTTTTGAGATCGAACTTTATGCTGTGACCAAAGGACCACGAAGCATTGAAACATTTAAACAGATAGACACAGACAATGACAGACAACTCTCTAAAATCGAGGTAATTTAAACAGATTCCATGTGTACAGTCTTAATTTTTTATCACTATTTAAATACATGTGTGTTACAACTATTTTTTTTTTACTTCTACCTAGTATGGGCTGATTGCTTTTATAGAGCTGGTTACAAGAAAATCTAAGCTCCAAGAAGAAAATGTGCTTTTTCAATATAAAACTTGTAACTGAGTCGTCCTGTTCAATTTCCTTTCTCTCTGCAATGAGAGTCATTAAAATAGCAAGCTAAACTCTAGTGGGGCACTTCCAGCATGTGGACAATAGAAGCAGATCTCTTTCAAGCAGCACTGTAGAAATTTGTAACAGGACAAAGAATTCCCACCTCATATAGGATTGTGAGGATTACATGAAATGTAAATGAAAAGAGCTAGCAAGAATTTGAATTGTGTGGACTGAAAAGTTGGTAAACAGGAGCCAGGAGTTCTGCTACCTAGCTTCTGCATCCCAGTTAGTCTTACATATGAATTGAGCCATCTGGCTACACTACTGTGCTTTTAACCATGAATCTACTTTGCCTCTTTGAGGGAATTTCCATCATGAATGTTTCAGGGTGAACGTTTGTTCTGTTGAAGTCTGGTGCCTTACTTAGCCCACCTACTATACTCTCTTTGCTTAAATTGAGTAACCCAGTTGTCTCCCCTCCTGTCTGGAGGCAATTTAACATGCATAATTCTTAACATCTAAGTAGGTAATAAAAGGCAACTAGGTTATTGATTCAAGGTTATTGATAAAAGTAAGACCCTTTTCTGTTTCTTTTTCTCTCCCTCTCCAATCTTTTCCCCACTCTAATTCCACTTCCTCCTCCAAGATATTAGTAAGGACTTTTCCTCTGAAGCAATTTGGTTAGTCAATGACAGAAGAGAAATAAGAGAAGGGGAACTTCCCCTGTTCCTTAAGAGTAGCAATTAGAGGGGTGGAAAACTGTTCCCAGTATGTACTTTCTGTTGACTCTTTATCACCCTTTTTAGAATGAACAGCAGCTGCAGATGAATTCACATAATACTCAAGAGCTCAGCCTGTGCACACAGGCCATGCAATATCACTTGCACGCCAACGGGCATGTTCTGCAGTATGAATACTCCTCAGTAGACCTTAGGGGATGTTCAGTTCTTTTCTGGAAAATAAAAATAGAGGAAGTCCAAAATAGTGACCTGCTTAGCTATAGTTTGCCCAGATGTTTTCTCAGATATCAGGTATCAGCTGCCTTATGACTAGATGGGTAAGAGTGACTTTCATATGCTTGAATAATAACAGTCGCTGCCTTTTATTGGCACACATAAACATTACTAATTCTTATATCAATCCTACCATATAGATTGTTTCCTTCCTTTTATAGATGACAAAACTGAGGTTCAGAGAAATTAAATTGTTTGTCTAAGACCACACAGCCAGTACACAGCAAAGCCTGGATTTGAAACATGAACTAAAAGAAACTACTTTCCTTTATAATCAGAAAGATTTAGTCAGTTATTTCTTCAGTATTATTAAGGTGGGTGAGGTGAGAGAAGGGGAATATAGCATTTTTATTAAATTACAAAATGGAAATAGTGTGGAACCTATTGCCAGCAAAATTAAAGTCATGCTCTTAACCCGTGCCTTTTTACCTTTTCCCTTTTTGTAGTAGAAAAGTAAATTTTTAGAGTCAGCAATATTGGTTATGAAAAGATATTTGCTTACTACGACACCGAGGAATATTTTAGGCTTTTTAAAGTTCTTTACACCTACCTAGGATTGCTAAGGCTCTATTGGAAGAAAAAATGCATCTCCCTTATATAGGACTGAAGTCCTATTGGAGAATAGTTGATGTATCCTTCTTAAGATCCATGTATCAGTCTAAAATAAAGTCTGCTAGCAATGGATTGAGTTTGGGATATCTACTGCTAAAAACCTCTCAGGGTCCAACTTCAGACTTCAAAAATATTCTTGCCTCTAAAATGCCCAGCTTTGCTGAACATTATCTCCAGATCATTGTGCATTGATCTATTTAGTCATTATATATATATATATATATATAATCTCTTTCCAATGAAAATATAATTGAGTCACATATATAATTTTTAAATTTCTAGTAGCCACATCTTAAAAAGTAAAAAGAAACAGGTGAAATTAATTTTAATGATACGTTTTAACTCAATATATCTAAAATATTACCATTTCAACACTAAATCAATATAAAAATTGCCATTGAGGTACTTTTTTTATTGTCTTCAAATTTGTTGTGTATTTTACCTTGACCATAGTGTATCTGTTTGATCCAGCCACATGTCAAGTGCTTAGCAGCCACCTGTGGCTAGTAGCTACCATATTAGGCAATGTGTATAATGTATGTCTCCTTAGAGAAATGCCATATTATATAGAGAAAAGAAAATATTTCAGAAAACCTGTTCTTTATTTGACATTATTATTAGAGAGATTGTCATTGTTTGTAAATTAGGGGATAGTTACAGAAGCATAGAAAAATTAAGAAAATTTTATTTCAAAACCTATGATTGGGCTTTATTGATTGTGCAACATATTTATTAATTTTAGAGATTATAGAAATGTCAACTTGGATTTTATTCACTAACAGAAATCCTTGAGAGTGACTTTCCTCTGATAATGGACAGTGGACAGTGGAGATTATTGGAAAGCATTTAGTTTCAACAAAATTCAATTCAGATGTTAACCTTTGAGTATGTATCACTAACCATCTATATCCTCGGGGAAAGTGAATTTGAAGATCTGTTTATACTCAGAAAATTGCTTCCAATTTATTTTATTCAAAAGTAAAACCTTTTCAAATAGCTTTTAAAATTTTTGTATCACTTATGTATAAGCAGTCTTAGATATGTGTATGTAAACATTTTCTCAAAGTTTCTAGAAATTTATCGTGATATCTTTTTGTTAATGAAATATTATTTTGGCCTTCTAGATAGATCATTACCTGAAAAGGGAATTTGAAAAAGATGAGAAGCCACGTGACAAGTCATATCAGAATGCAGTTTTAGAAGACATTTTTAAGAAGAATGACCATGATGGTGATGGCTTCATTTCTTCCAAGGAATACAATGTATATCAACATGATGAACTATAGCATTTTTTTGTTTCTAAATTTTCTTAGCTACTTATAATACTTTACATATAAAACAAAGTCACTTTACTCCAAGTTGTATTTTCTATTTTTTCTCTACGTGAACATATTTTTATCTCCTCAATACATGTAAGTTTGGAATAAAGGTGAGGCTATTTTGCAAATTTAACTTTTAGGAAAGGTATGATTACATTTCCTATTGCTATGAGCATGAATCGCAGCAGCATGAAATCAATCTCTGTGTCCCCGTGGGCAATTTCCCCCTTTAGGAAGTAGGAGGACATCTGCATCAAAATCTACAAGCTCTTCCCAACTCTAACAGGTAGAAATATGTAAATATCCATTTTTAAAAATTTTAGATGTTAAGATGCCCCATATTTTTAAAATAGTAAATAGGGACACAGGAAATAACATGTTCATGTTTATACATTTCATAGCATTATGGATAGGGTATAAAAATGAGTACTGAAGAGTCTTCTTTTGGTATGCATGCAGGAAAATATAAGTTGAATAACTGTCCCACAAAGAATCTCAACATGGTCTCTGTACTTTTTGGTGCAAGCTTCTGGACTTAGGTATTTGTTCCAATAGAGAATGTTTAAAGGTATTTGATCAGACCAAAGACTTTGTGCCTTTTATAGCAGGCATAATGCAGTCTATACTGCTCTGAATCTCGTATTCCTTCAGACATCGTTATAAATGTGCTACTTCTCTCCCTTCTCGTGGGCCTTTATGTCTACTATCCCTAACTTTTTGTGTTGGTTTTAAATTGATCTCATGGTATTTCTTAGTTTCCAGTTCACTTTCTCTTAAGTGTCTCTATCCTTTATGTCACTTCATTTTACTATGTTCTTGTTATTAATCATGAATGAACATTACAGCTGGTATGCCATCAAATTTTTGGTAAATGTGTAGATTTTATACATGAAAATATCAAATGATACAAATGAGGATATATAGTGCCATGGCAATTTTGTGTCATGGTCAAATCATGACATGGTACAGCTTGTTGAGACTGAGAGATAAAAGATGCTGTAGAAGATCATGTTGGTGCCAAAGAAAGGGCACACGTTTATTGGAACATGTGCAAGGTTTTGCCTACTGGGAATATATAGTAAAGTATAGTCAGGCAGTAAATAGCTCTATTCAAAACAGTTGAGTTCAAAACAAAACTTTTTCCATTTTCTGAAACTTGCTCTTTTCAAACCATTGTTCATTGTTCATCTTTTGACCTCTTTAGATATACTGCCAGAAATTTTATTATTTAGAAGTATAGGAGTAGCACAAAATACACCATATTAATGGATATCACATATGCATAACACAGTTTGACACTTCATGAAACAAAAAATTTTACTATCTCTTCTTTCTTCCCAGTATCTCTTCATTCCTCTACCCAATTTTATAACTTCTCCTCACTTACTCAATCATCAGCTCTTTCCTCAGAAAAAACTGCTTAGCTGAAGTAAACTAAGCTGATAACTCAATATTATGTTTTGGTTTGGAAACTGGCCCCATTGTCTTTTATCTATATATATAAAGAAAAAACTGCTTAGCTGAAGTAAACTAAGCTGATAACTCAATATTATGTTTTGGTTTGGAAACTGGCCCCATTGTCTTTATCTATATATATAAAAAAAGGCACCAGACCCTTTTTTTTATCAGTATCCTCATATTTGCATTTGAATCATTTACTCTGCCCAAACAAAAATACAGTGATAGAAAAGATATATATGGAAATTATCAGATAATACAAACTCTTTATAATTCTAACTTTTCTCTCATTATACAAAGTGCTTTGAACTTACTTTTAAAAAAAAATTATAGATGATGTTAATATGGAGATTTACTCTAATCACATTTAAATAGTTAAAAAATAAAATTTTAATCATTTTACATGCATATAGTATACAAGTATTTTGTATTTACATGATTGCATTATGACTTCATAGGCATATACCTAGTAATGAGTGCTATAATTAATACACTTTGAGTTCTAGAATTTGAACATTATTTTTGTAATTATTTTAATAAGGGTATATAGTAAATAATTTAGGTTGTGTATGAAAATTTTCAGATGTCTTACAAAGTATATGAAAAAGATCTCTCAGAACTAAATATGTTAAATGTTTTAAGCATTTTCAAAGGAGAAAAGAAATAAATGTTCCCAACTACCTTAACTTTAAAATGACAGTAGTAAGTTGTATAAAGCCAAAACTAGTGAGCATATGCACATCACAGAATGTCAGCCCATTACTATCAGTGCCCTGTTAATTGTGTATACAAAGCCCCACACTGAGCTCAGTGTGCTTTTAATTTGATACTGCAATTAAACATTTAGGATTACATTAAATTATTAACACATTTTTCTCATTTTACCAGACCTAGGGCAATAAGTTAAAGCACCATAAAGTCAACACTTGTGCACTCTTTTCATACTTAAATGTTGAATTAAAAGCCAATTAAAAATAAAATTGATATTTAGAAAAATCTCTATGTAAAAAATTATCTAAAGTGATCAGTTAAATCCCCAAAATACTTCCAAAGCAACTGGCTGATTTTATGAAGGAACATCTATAATCTGAATTTTTAAACCTTTTTTAATATAAAAATATTAATACTCTTCATGATAATTTATGAGGTAGACACCATTATCAACTCCACTTCATAGATGGGAAAAATTATGCTCAGGTTAATTTGTTTCCTCTCCCTCTTTCCTAATTTTGGAAAGGTGTGTGGCACTGTTGCACTAAAGTGTCAGCAAGGTACATTCATATTTTTCATTTTATTTCATTCTCTTGTGCCAAATATCAAAACAAGGAACCGCATGAAGTCTCACGTACTTCTGCCCATCGACAGAGCACTGAAAGCACCCATAAACTGTCTCCCTTTTTAAGTTCCCCATTCCACAGAGTATGCAAGGCCCTTTTGGAATGTTATGATTAAGTAAGTTAACTCGGATGTGAGTCCCTTCTTTGAGTGAAATATCAGTCATGCTGAGAGGTTTGTCATAGTAGTCAGAAAAAAGATCATCTAAGTAAAGCTGTGAACGAGAAATGGCATCCATCACTCTTCTGTCTAAAAAGACAAAAACAGAAATGTGTCAGAAGTCAAATAACATATAACCAAACTGCATGTATACACACATAAATTTAAACCAGTCATGAAATGATTTGGCTGTTAAATTTAAATTCTCTCTTAACAGGATTACTAAATAAACAACTTCAGGTGTTAATCTAAGAAGAGAAAAAAATACATATTCGAAATACCCTTCAATGGACATACTTCTCTCAAACAGTATATTTCTCAATCTGTAGAGCAGTGCAAATGTTGCTGTTTCTTCCCTTTCAAATCCTCCTTTTGACACTGAAGTAACACAGAGGTCTATAAAAAAAATTAGAAGACATTATAACAACTCATTTCTGTGGTTGATGTGGTTGTGGTTGATAAATTGCATATGACACTTTTTTAAGTTAAATTTTATGTACGTTTACAAAAGGTGACATTCATATGGTACAAAATTCAGAGTACAAAAAGTGGCAAGTCCCTAGGCTACCCTGACCCCAGAGGTAACCACTGTTTATTTTCTTATGTGTATTTCAAGAAATATTCCACATATTTTATAAGTATAAGGAATATGTATGTATATATGCATTTATATGTATGTAAAATTCTTTAGGTTCAAAAAGTTACAACCTACACATATTTCTTTTGAGTATCTCTTAAAAGATTATTCCATGTGAGGATGTACAGTGATACCTCATTCTTTTTAATGGTTTCATAATATTCTGTTGTGGGGACATACCATTTCATTAGTTGCTGATAATAGATCTTACTGTTATTTCCAACTTTTGCTATTATGAACTGAATATCCTTATACCCATATCATTTCACATATGTGTAAGTATATCTGTAGGATTAAATTCCTAACAGTGTAAGTTAAGGCTAAAGTATATGCACATTTAAAATTTTGATGGGTATATCAGTTCTATCAGTTTATACTCCTAACAATCAATATAATTATAAAAACCTACACCTGAAGTGTCCCATATAGAATTTAATTTGTATGTTTTGTTTTGTTTCTGGACTTCCTATTCTCTCCTCCCACAGAACTGCAGAAAAACATAAATAGTTCTAAAAATGTTTATGAATTACCATGGCTAGGGGGCTCCCTTGCCTAGTCTTTTGGTCTACACTTAGACTTGAGCTCGCTGGCCTCCTAATCTTAAAGACCTGTGAAATGTAGAAATCTAAAGTGAGCCGTGCAGAGGTATTATGTAAGGTGACAATTTTAAGGGAAGTATTTTTACTTTTTTGAAGTCATTTTTTAGGGAGACTTCGGGGTGGGGAGCTAGACCTATGATAGGTAAAACTGAAGGAAAGCTGTCTTCAGGTACTCTAGTTCAGGCACCCTGTCACCTTCAGGCATCTTACTGTATACTTCTTCCTCTATTTGCCATCATGAAAAACTACTTAGAAGGTTTTTTATCATCTCGCCTTGTAAGTCAAGGAATACTCTCTCAGTGGATTGCATTTTAGCTCTTATCCATAATTGTAAGTGGGGTAGTGGGGAGTCTATAGCCTTTGCCAAGAAGCAGGAAAGAGGTATTGGGTAAGTAGGGACTGGAGGGTCTTTCCCAGTTACTTCACCCAAGCAAATTCAGTGTTTCATGCAAATCATTCACTCACCAAAGGCACCGTCCAAGTAAATGAAGAGTTCAAAAACACTAAAAGCTATGGTTGTGTGTGCTGGAAAAACAATAGCTTTGTCCCTTCCCTTGGGATTCTGTTCATCCATAAAATGAAACTATATTAAATAAATAAAATAATAATATTAAGGAGTATAACATGTAAAGATAGCTTTTTAGAGAAACAAAACATATCTTACAATCCTACCAACAAAACAAGAAACAACAAAACATCTCTCAAGTATAAGATTTAGCCTACTTGAAGTATACTTTATAGCAAGAGGTCTAAATGGTCCAATAGGAATTCACGATCTGTATTAGGAAATACCACTCACCACTCTCTCATTTACTTTGTTACTGGAGCCAACAATTAGTGTAGCATTAGTGCAACAGTAATGCTCTCTGGCATAGAAACCTTTTAATTTCAATTGCAAAACAACTGTATTTAAGTCCTACAGCATTTTTAGCCTATCCTGTCTACTGTTCCAAAGCCCCCAGAGCTTTCAGCAGCTTTCTAAAGTAATCACCAACGATTAAGTAAAATGTTTCAGTTCGTGCCCCCCAAAACAATCTAATGTTATACAATTTGATAGGCTGCTAAATGTAGCCACTGAATAGAACCTTTACTTGCAAAGATTTGAAAAGATCATCATTGAACCCTATCTTTCTAACAATTGGTTTTAATAAAGCCAATTAAGACATTATTATGTGTCATTATGATGTGAATGACAAGGACAAATACAATTGAGCTAATAAACTAACTTTCAAGATTTGAAAAAGGATTTAACATTGAATGAACCATGTTTAGTCATCAACAATATTTTAGAAAAATTAACATAAAAATATAAATTCAACTTTTAAAAATTCGAAATAATTTAAAAATAATATCAAAGAATTCAACATAAGCATCTAATTTTTATTCTTAAAATGGTATTTAAATAGTAATAGGAGGGACTCCAGTATACACATTATTTCACAAAGATTAGTGTTTTGTTTGCATTATATTACACGTTTAGAATCCAAATTTTCTTGGATTTCTTTCATATCCTAAAATAAAGCCATTTCTCTACAAAATTTTATATACTACTGCAGCTCTTTAATCTCAACATTTGACAAAATGCACAAGTCTCATTAGAAATTGAGTACCTTAAATAAAAATTCTCACTGCAGTTTTTTAGTACGGGAAGCCTAATAGTGTGGTTTACTTACCCGCATGGCTTCCCCACGAATTCCAGCATGCACAGACAGTGAGCACTGTCGGGTGGTTCGAATGCTTTCCATGACCACACACAATACTGCCTTTCTGCTGCTTCTTGACTGACGTATCAAGCTGTGGTCAAAATTAATTTTTCTAAAATAAACAGAGACATTCACAAGAATCTATAACAAGAATCTGGTTACATATAATGCAGTACTTTTGTTGCTATCATGTGTCACTCATCCATCATACACCTTAACGAAAAGTAAATCAAGGCAGGCTTAACACAAGTCAGAAAGTATGCTCAAAAGAAATTTAATAATCTGTCTTTCCTTTCTATTTTCTTAAAACATGCTTATTATAAGAGTCTGTTGGAGAGGCTCTCTTAGCATATCTGTTGCAAGCAGACTCCTGTATTCTTTTAATCTAATAATTTAGCAAATGTGTGCAGATCCAAAGCAATGTTGTGAAACGGTTAACAATTCTGTTTAAACCAAACAATTTTGGATATCTACTCATCCAAAGTTTGGATACATTATTAATTTGTATTATTTCAAACAAATCAAACAAATTACATTAGTAAAATACAACCTTTGCATTTTAATCATTCTTTATAATGTTTATATAATTAAAATACATAATGAAAACACTAAAGTATAGTACGGATTATTATACTGACCGTGTAGTAATTTCCTTGAGTAATGTTGATACTTCTACTTCATGTTTGGTTACTACACCAAATGAAGCTTTTACTGCAACGGAATCTGATCCAGCAACGTTAATCCCTATGTGTCATTATGATGTGAATGACAAGGACAAATACAATTTAATAAACTAACTTTCAAGATTTGAAAAAGGATTTAACATTGAATGAACCATGTTTAGTCATCAACAATATTTTAGAAAAATTAACATAAAAATATAAATTCAACTTTTAAAAATTCGAAATAATTTAAAAATAATATCAAAGAATTCAACATAAGCATCTAATTTTTATTCTTAAAATGGTATTTAAATAGTAATAGGAGGGACTCCAGTATACACATTATTTCAAAGATTAGCTAACTTTCAAGATTTGAAAAAGGATTTAACATTGAATGAACCATGTTTAGTCATCAACAATATTTTAGAAAAATTAACATAAAAATATAAATTCAACTTTTAAAAATTCGAAATAATTTAAAAATAATATCAAAGAATTCAACATAAGCATCTAATTTTTATTCTTAAAATGGTATTTAAATAGTAATAGGAGGGACTCCAGTATACACATTATTTCACAAAGATTAGTGTTTTGTTTGCATTATATTACACGTTTAGAATCCAAATTTTCTTGGATTTCTTTCATATCCTAAAATAAAGCCATTTCTGTACAAAATTTTATATACTACTGCAGCTCTTTAATCTCAACATTTGACAAAATGCACAAGTCTCATTAGAAATTGAGTACCTTAAAAAAAAATTCTCACTGCAGTTTTTTAGTACGGGAAGCCTAATAGTGTGGTTTACTTACCCGCATGGCTTCCCCACGAATTCCAGCATGCACAGACAGTGAGCACTGTCGGGTGGTTCGAATGCTTTCCATGACCACACACAATACTGCCTTTCTGCTGCTTCTTGACTGACGTATCAAGCTGTGGTCAAAATTAATTTTTCTAAAATAAACAGAGACATTCACAAGAATCTATAACAAGAATCTGGTTACATATAATGCAGTACTTTTGTTGCTATCATGTGTCACTCATCCATCATACACCTTAACGAAAAGTAAATCAAGGCAGGCTTAACACAAGTCAGAAAGTATGCTCAAAAGAAATTTAATAATCTGTCTTTCCTTTCTATTTTCTTAAAACATGCTTATTATAAGAGTCTGTTGGAGAGGCTCTCTTAGCATATCTGTTGCAAGCAGACTCCTGTATTCTTTTAATCTAATAATTTAGCAAATGTGTGCAGATCCAAAGCAATGTTGTGAAACGGTTAACAATTCTGTTTAAACCAAACAATTTTGGATATCTACTCATCCAAAGTTTGGATACATTATTAATTTGTATTATTTCAAACAAATCAAACAAATTACATTAGTAAAATACAACCTTTGCATTTTAATCATTCTTTATAATGCTTATATAATTAAAATACATAATGAAAACACTAAAGTATAGTACAGATTATTATACTGACCGTGTAGTAATTTCCTTGAGTAATGTTGATACTTCTACTTCATGTTTGGTTACTACACCAAATGAAGCTTTTACTGCAACGGAATCTGATCCAGCAACGTTAATCCCAACATCATTCACGATATGGTTGCCTCGCCTTCCATAGAGTGAAACATCTGATTCATCTTCATAATTCAGTAACTGATAAGATGAAATACCTTTAGAAAAAAGGAAATTAGTATTCTTCAAATGTCTTGAATTCATCTAATGTAGATTACATATAGTAACATTAATATACTAATTAAGACTCAATTACGCAAATGTTGAGAAAGGCAATGTTTCAAACCAAAATTAAAAATAGCAATTCAATTAATTAGAAAACAAGAATAGCCAAAATACTTAAAATGAATTCAAATTCAACAGAACTTCTTAAGCATCAAGATCACTGTGTAGTTGAAAGAAAAACAAGTGTTTATAAGAAATAATTTGTTGAAATGTCAATTTATTTTTAAACCTAGCCTGTACTATATTTCAGTTTATAAACTGTAATAACAAATTATAAAAAATAAATGCAAATTATTTTCATCTCATTTGATCATGTGAGATAGGTAAGGCTATATAATATCCCTATTTTATAGATGAAGAAGTATATTATTATGTCATATTCTTAGTTGATTTGTTTAAAACAAAATAACTGAAATAAAATTATACAATAATCTTATAAAATAGGCTTGAAAAGTATTCAACCAACAAGAGATTTGATACTATTATAAACTTTAGCCACTGTTAATCATAATAATATTACCCCAAAGTTGCTTTTATCAATGAAAATGTGTAAATATTATGAAGATAAGCAGAATATATGACCTATGTTTAGATTAACAATAATATGGCTGAATAAGTAAGTAGCCACTTCTAAACAGACATTACGACTTACCAGCTGAAATTTCTCTGTCTCCTAGAAGAATATCTTTCAGCGTAAAAGGTGTCGAGGTAAATTTATATCTAGGAAACAAAAAGCATCGTTTCTTTTTTACCACCAGGCTTAAAGGTTGGTATTTGTCAGCCTCACTGAGGCTTGGAACAGGAACTAATCTCCCTCCATCTCCAACTTGCTTGACAAAGCTCTTGGTAGCAGCAGCAAACATATTAATATGGTATCAAAAGGTCATCAACTGCAACCCTCAAATAAAAAAATCCATATTTTCAAGGAAAATCAGGCACAAAACTAAGCCTTGCTTGAGTTTAAATATAATTATACATGTTCAAAGTACAAAGCATGGTTTCATCAAGTAGTTTACAGAGTACAGTTCACAACACTGCCTCCCTTGGTGTGCTCAGGTGATGAATTATAGATTAACGGTGTAAAATGATATACTAAAAGCAAGTTTAATTTGGAATTGTAGTCTATAGCACTAAAATATACACAGAAAACAATAATTTTAAAATACTACCAATGTCCTTAATGAGAGTCAAGATTAATAGTGGTTTGCCAGTTTTGAGGGAAACAGCCTTTTGGGGAACAATGCAATTTAGGCACTAATATTAGCACTGGACACCAACTACAGCAGACCTAGTCCAAAGGGAATTCCTTCACAAGTCCATCATGCCAATTTTGACAACAGGAAAGTGCTCTTTTGAATTCTTGTGGTACAAAGTTTATCGTTTGAGCATTTCATTCATTTTCCTTGTATGCTTACAAAACCAAGTGGTTAATATAAAAAGTAAATTCACAGACTATAAGGAAACAATTGTATGCAGATCTTTATAAAATACTAAATGCAAGTCACGTTACATATAAATAACTCTGATGTGTGGGTTCCTTACTCTGAAGCTGGCACATAGACATCTCCTTGAAAGGGGGTGCTGCTGCATTTATTTTCTTTTTGTTTTATCATTATTATTCCAGCTACTCAACCTTTAAAGAAAGCTACATAGGTTTTGGTTTGTTTTAAAGGAATTTTGTGCATAAAAATACCTTTTTGAAACGTCTGCGTGCTGAAATATTGTATTGCCATAGCTATGTGCATGTTAATATATTGTGAAATACTATGTGATACAAGATACTCATTAAAACATAATATTAGTGGACAAATTGATATATACATATATAGAGGGGGTAGAGGGAGGAAGAAAGGTTTAATTCAAGCCTCAAATAATATAAATCGATTTGATTAGATTCTGGATATCTTTTTTTCATTTGCTTTGAAACATCCAGGGTTTGCAACCCCCCAAAATATTTTTTAAATAACGTCCTTCTGTGCAAAGTATTGTGCAAAGCAATCTTTCAAAACACCGAGAAAATGCACGGAGTCATTTCTGCAAGTGGCTAGCAAATCCCTAGAGGAGCGAGCGATTCAACAACTGATGTCGTTGTCTGACTCCCACCAAAGGTGGTGCATCCCAAACACCATTACAACCAACACCGTAGGTGAGCAGAAACAGCATTTAATTGGAATCCAATTCTCAGAAAAGCCTTCGTTTACACCTAACGGGCCTTGCTGGGATTCGCGGGCCCAGCATTCATCTAGCGACAAAAGCCTAGAAGACAATGGAGCCCCCTGGGTGGAAGGCGAAATGGGGGTTCTCTGGAAGTCCCTGAGAGTTCCTAAAGGCAGGTTCGGATACCAGAAGATCCCACCGCAGCCCTCGGGAGCTGATATACCGAGAGTCTCAAGCTCCAGGGCCAAGCCCAGAGATGCTCTCCATAAATTTTGCATTCGGAATTTTGAAACCTTTTTCTTAAAGTAACACAGGCTCCTCCTTCTCCCCGTGCCCCGCCAGAAAAAAAAAAGATTGAGCTTCAGGACCCATAGACTCTGTGACGCTTGCCCTCCCGACAAGCCTCCACTCCGGAGAGGAAACCGCCTTTCAAAGAACACAGAATCGCGAGGCCTCAATAAGCCCCTGGGCCACGGGCTGGGCACCGCCGGAGCCGAGGAAAACCTGGACTGGGAAAGGGGGCGGGGCCTAGAGAGAGGAGGGCGGGGGCAGGCGCTCCACACTCCTGGAGCCGGTGGGCGGGACCAGGCGAGGAGATGGACCCCGAGCCGGATCAGCGAGGGGGAGTGGCCGGGAGCCTGGAACTCCGCGGCTGCACCGAGACCCCGCCTCCGCCCCACCCCCGCCCGTCCCCTTCGCAAGAGGGACGCAAGCCAGAAGGGGAGAGGGGGAGTCAGAAAAAGGGAGGAGGCGGCGGCGCTGGAGTGTTCCTTTCGGGGACCGGCCGACGCCGGGGCGAGGACATCGCTCCGCACAGCTCTTCCTCCCTCCTCCAAGCCGTCCCTTCTCGCCATGTCTCAGAGCAGGCATCGCGCCGCGGCCCCGCCGCTGGAGCGCGAGGACAGTGAGACCTTCAGGTCAGCGCCCAGGGAATCGGGGCCGAGCCCAGCAGGGTGGGGAGTGGTGCGCAGGAGAGGCGGGGGCGGGCAGCCGGCTCTCCAGCGGCATTCTGGGTAAAGCCCCTTTTCGCCGCTCGCGCCCCCCGCGACTGCGGCGGACTGGCTGCGCGCCCGCGGAGATCTGCGGCCTGGCCCCGCCCCTCTTGCGGCCTGGGGTGGGCGGGGACGATACGCAGCCTCTGGTGGTTTGGGATTTGTGGGCTTAGTTCTGAGCGGGTGCAGCACTTGTCCTTGAATTATCTCCTTAAAGACCTCCTTCACCCTACCCGCCTCTGCCCGGTGCCCGCCGCCACGGGTCCGGGAGATGGTGCGCCTCGCCAGCACTGGTCCTGGCCTCCGGGGAGCTTGGTGGCAGTCAGGACAAGCCTCTGCGTGCTTCTGCTTCCCTGCCTGCTTTGGCATGCAGAGCAGCACACCTTTTTCTGGTTTTTGCAGTTTGGGAAAGATGATTACAGCCAAGCCAGGGAAAACCCCGATTCAGGTATTACACGAATACGGCATGAAGACCAAGAACATCCCGGTATACGAATGTGAGAGATCCGATGTTCAAATACACGTCCCCACTTTCACCTTCAGAGTAACCGTTGGTGACATAACCTGTACAGGTCTGTATGCACAGTTAACCTCGATGACCATGGGAGTTGGCGGTTAAGACTTGGTATTTCTTGCTTATCAGTTTGGAAAAGTGCCGTTTTTACTAGAAACAACTGTGAGGAACAGGATCTAGAAACAGACTTCTCATCTCAGGTCATTGCTTTCAAACTTCATCTGATTCTCCCTAATTTTCTCTTCCCCAGATACCAGGAGAAGCTCAGAACATGTCCTAGGATTCTCCTAGGGTTCTTCCAAGAATTAGGGATAAGCAGGAAAGGTTCTTGGAGTAGCCATAGCTGGATCAGTAGGTGCTGTCATGTTTTATACTTTCATAGATTATAGCAGATGCCAGCAGGCATGACCCCATAATTTTCTTAGCCTCCTCCCTTTCTGTTTGGACTCATTTGACACTTTCAGTTCTGTACCCAAGCAAAATGAGGAAAGAAAAAGGCTCAAATTCACGATATTGCATAGCAGCTTCTAGTTCCTGACACTGTACAGGTATTTAATAAGCTGTTATCTCCTTTTTTATACATGACGAAATAGGTTCAGAGAGATTATAAGTAACATGCCCAGGGTCCCATAGCAATGAAGTTTCAGAATTCAGACTCACATTATTATGGTCTGTGAGTTTGAGCAAATGGTAATTGAAGTTGCCCATTTGGAAATGTAGATATTTTATTTCTTATGTATCTATGTAATTGTAAATAAAAAAAATTGAATGTTAAATTTAATTTAGAAGAATATCAAGAAAAATATTCAGCAAGAAGGCTGAAGTTTTGCCAGCTGGTAATCTAAAAGCATCATTTGTTTGTATCCCTGAAAATCTAGAGTCTGCTATTTTCATTGAAGACACTTTAAGAAATTTTTGACTTTTTTTGTCTATGTGAGGCAGGTGGATTGGTGGTGCTAGCTGGAAGATTCCTCATCTGAACCATAGAATCAACATTGTATTACTGCTTTAGCTGGTCTATTTTTAAATAGTAAAAATTCAAGAAGTAGCCTTTTTCCTCTCAATGTGTTACAGACCAGAGATTAACAACCTATGGCAACTGTTCTGCCTATGTCCCCTACTCTCCTCACACTACCCTATCTTCCTGTACAAGTTTATCTGCCTCCACAGCTTCAAATAATATCTAAAAGCTGAAAATTCTGAAATATCTATCTTCAGCCTAGGCATAGTTATAGAACAGTGTATCAGCCTGTGTTTGCTGGACATCTTTGCTTAGATGACTCAAAGGCACCTCATTCCTTGACTCAAACTGAATCTTCTCTGTCAGACCTATTCCCCTTATTTTCCCTAGCTCAGTAAAGGCACCAGCATTACCCATTTGCTCATAGTAGAAATTTGGATCTCATCTTCTTGACTCTCTCCCTTCCCTATGCCTCTATTCCAGTCTGTCACCTAAATATCTCGAGTCTGTCTGCTTCTCGTCTTCCCATTGCTACTGTTCAGGTCACTGTCATAACCTACTTGGATTATGGCTACAGTCTTGTAGCTGTTCTTTCAGCTTCTAGTCTTGTGATGTCCATTCTTCACAGGACAGCTAGAGTGTTCTTTTTGGCATTCAGATCTGTTCATGCACTTCCTCTTAAAATTTGTTTAGTAGTTTTCACATAACCCTCTGGATAAATACAGATTTCTTACCATCACTTAAAACCTTGCTGCTCAAATGTGATCAACAGCAGCATTGATCTCACCTGGGCACTTGAAGGTAATACAGACTATCAGGCCCCATGGCAGTCCTACTGGATCAGAGTATGCGTTTTAGCAAAATTCCCAGGCAATTCCTGTGCACATTAAAGTTTGAGAAGCACATATTTAGGAGACTGTTCTCTGCTCTCTCTACCCTCTAACTCTCTAGCCTTTTGTCTCAAAATTCCTTCCTTCAAGCTCCTGCTGTACCCAACTACTCAGGACTCTTGAGAACACCATGCTGTGTTACCTTTTAGCCTTTGCTGGTGCTCTTTTCTCTGCCTATAATATCTTCCTAACCTCTAGCTTTTTTCACATTACTAGCTTTTACTAATATTTCAAATCTTCATTTGTTATCTCTTCCTTCATGAAACCTTTCTGAATCCTCACCAAGAGCTGCCCTATTCATGTATTCCCCTATAGTTGCACTTAAGCCTGTTGTAACACGTACCACTTCATATTTCAAATGCCTATTTATATACTAAATCCTACACTAGGCTGTGTGCTCTTTAAAGGTAGGGACTCTGTTTAGTTCTCCACTGTATCCCTAATACATTTGTTAGTGGATAAATGAGTATGGTTTGTGTATTCTCTGACACTTGAGGATCACACTTGAAATTGATTCCAAGTCCCTTTTTTTAAACCAGAAAATGGACATGAACATTCTGATAGCACTTTCGAAGGCTTCTCAACACCTAGTTTGAACACAGATGGGAAAAAATTGCATTTACCATATACTAGGTGTGATTGCTTACTGAAATTAGGCATCAGTCTCAATGATTAGTCAGGCCTATCCCCTGCCACCCCCTTAGCTACCCGTGTAAGGGATACAGATTGTATGGAAGACGCATAACATAAGCTCTCAACTTCTTCCCTATATAAACCTTCCTATACTGGACCCAGCGTGTGGCTATGACTGCTTAGCCAATTGAAGGGTTTAATCCAGGATAGGACAGGCTGTTGGAATAAAATTGTGCACATTTTGCTATAAGTAGCTCCCTTAAAGGAAACTACTACAGAAGAATTTTTCTCTGCAGATAGGGAGGAGTAACGTACTAAACTGCATTTCTTTAGAAGCTGTGACGTTGTCTACTATATTACCAGTTTATGTGACGTCGTCTACTTTATTACCACTTTATGTAATAAATGATATAATGTAGACACAATGTGGATTTTTTATATAGGTTTACATAGTATTAAATACATATAACTTTTTAAATCATAGGTTTTTAAAATATATTTATGTATTGAATATTTTATTATAGCATATAACTGTATGTAGTATATGTTTTTATTATCTGGTGTGTATATGTAAGACCTGTAGTGACTTTGTTTTTAATTATAAAAACATCTACACAAGCCTCACATTTTCACAGTATATACTTTTTTTTTCTTAACCTGAATTCAGGTGAAGGTACAAGTAAGAAGCTGGCGAAACATAGAGCTGCAGAAGCTGCCATAAACATTTTGAAAGCCAATGCAAGTATTTGGTGAGCTAAATTTCTTTGTATTCTGCAGCTCAAAAATATCATGGCTGAGGTAAGATTAAAAGTTTGAACATGCTCACAAATGCAACAGAGTGAACAGTTGTTAGAACCAAGCTCTAAAATTTTATTTTCTTGTAAGAACTTGTTATCCATTAAAGATAACTTTATCCTTAAGAAATTAAATCCAGCAATGAACTGTTAAACGAAGGCTCTCTTGAAGTAGACTTTTTTTTTTTAAGATGGGGTACGGTAAGAGACCCAGAGTTTTTCTGGCAAACATCTTACCGTATTAAGACTTAGGTAGAAAAGACCAGCTAAAAGTATTCTTTTAGGAATTCTAATTTGGAAATAGACAAAAAAATTTCCTTTTATTATAGAACATATACTGAATACAAGCAGATGTTAAGTGGGATGTTAATTCTTGACATATCTTTCCAAAATAAATTTTGTTATCACTTTAGGTACTTTTGGAAAGAGTATTGGTCCTAGAGCATCTCATGTGTCATCAAGTGGTGTCTTTTGGTTTCTAATGGGCACACTCTGGAACATGGTGTGCCTTTAGTGGCTTCTCTTTATGTGCACTCAGGTATATTTGGAGTACAATCTGGTATATCTGCTCATAGCTTGTGGCAGAGGCCCATGGAAATTTAGGATGGGTTTTTTGCTTCCCAGCCATAGCAAAACTTGACTTAGGAATGTATTTAATGCTCCTCCTTTTTTCTTAAATTATTCTAACCATTTGGATAGTTTAGAACTAGCCACTGTAAGCCTTAGATCTCACAAAATGATGCTTAATCCTGTAGGGTCATACATTATAATTGATTTATGCTAGCTTTCTAGACAGCAAATGGCATGGCAGGCATTGGATCTTCTCACTGGTGATGGCCGTGCTATTTCTGTGCAGGCCATAGGTCAACCTAAAGTGTTAAGTATATTTGTAGAAATGAGCATATGAAGTGTCCTTCCTGCACATCGGCACTTCACTTTGTCAGCAAAAATAGTTAACAAACTTTACTATATATTTGTGCTTCTTGATAGATAAGATGGGAATTACTAAGTGTTAATGAAGCCTAAAGTGGCCTGATTTAATATAGAGACTTTCTCACTTCTCCATAACAATATTTGGGTAGCTTTGGCATGCAGCACTGTAAGTGAATATTCATATCTCATCGGTCTATAAAAACCTTGAAATTCTGGTAGCTAAGAAAGAAACTTGGGGAAGTGGCAATAACTAAATCTCATTTGTCACGGAGGAGATGACTCTTCAGTTGCCTAGGTGGTGGTAACCTTGGAATACAGCTTATTCAGTGTCAGGCACCCATCACCCAAGTAACTAGTATTTCACACTACTTAGAAGAGATTTTCTCTTTTTCTTTAATAGCAGTCCCCACAAGCCGAAACCAGATTCATGCAGGCCATTTATTTTATTCAGGATACATCTAAATCTTAGGAGGATTATCCTAACATAGAGCAGATAATAGATCAAAGTCAGATAGATAGATAGATAGATAGATAGATAGATAGATAGATGATAGATAGATAAATTCTTCCATAATTACCTGAATGAAAAAGCTACATTTGTGATCTATATTATTCACATTGCCAGGTTAAATTTCCTAATTGTTAGTCTTTCATGTTTGTGTAGTTGTAACAATAGTGTGCTTTATTAAAATACATTTTATTAAGCACCTATTACATAAAAAGCCCTACAAGGTTTATGAAGGTAAGTAATACATAGGCCCTACCATCAAGTATTTTACAGTCTGTGCAGGAGAAACGTGGTAAGAGATGGACAAAGGACATGTATTTGTAAGAGTGTGTAATTTATGGTAAAATAATTGCTTAAGAAAGTGTCAAACCAAATGTTATAATCGCTCAAAGGAGAGAGAAATTATGTTCCATTCGAGTAAAAGGACAGGCTTTTTAGAGGAAGTAGCATTTGATATATACCTTGAGTGATGTGTGGATCAGATTCTCATATAAGAGGTGGGAGAGGAAGGTGTTCCATAGAAGGAACAGCAACAGCAAAGGCATAGAGCATTAAATAGAAAATGCTTGTCATTTATTTAATCATTTTGGGAAAAATATTTAGTTTTATAACACTTTAAAAAAATGTTTAGCTTTGCAGTTCCTGACCCTTTAATGCCTGATCCTTCTAAGCAACCAAAGAATCAGCTTAATCCGATTGGTTCATTACAGGTAAGTTGCACAGTTTTTCCATACTTAACATTTTGTCTACTGAAAAAAAAGGTCTCATAAATTAATATCACAAGGGCTAAAATAAGGAATTAATATTTTAAAGATAAGATGGTGTAATATTTTGTTTTCCAAGTTATGATCATTAGATGTTACAGTGCTAACTTGAAATCATTTTCCTATTTATTTACGTTTTGGATTTTCTTCCATATACAGTATCTGCCTTTGGTTTGTGGAATTCTCATTTGAGATCAATAGGACCTCAATGCACATGGGTAGAGTGTTTTATACTTTAAGAATATTTCTTGCCACTCTTGTGACAAACCTCTTTCTACTTCTGCTGAGACAGAAGACTTTATAGAGAACCCAGATCGAGTAACCTAATTCGAGAATAGAGAAGTAATCTGTTTCTTCGCTTATTCTACCAAAAAATATGTATTCAGCTTTGAATTTCCGCAAACAGAATATCCTTCTTGCAGATTATTCGTGTGCTCTGTTGGACAACCCCCCTAACCATTATCCAACCAGTCCTTTGGTCTTTTTCCTGCTCTATGAGTTTTCTGTAGTTCTTCTTTTCTCAACCTCCGTTCAAGTCTGTTTGTTTGTTTCTCACTTGCTCTTGATCGAACATAGTAGTTAGCCAGCTGTGGGAATAAAATTCTATAGCTAGGAAGGGCGAGGCTTTAGGAACTGATGGCAGTGAGACCTGTAGATATCTTATCTGATGTTTCCAAAAGGGCAATAGTAATTTATCTTTCTGTTTGAACTCTGATATCAGATCACTGTGGCTTGGTGGAAGAACACCATTCATAACAGGAAACTGCTTCAGTTTTGGTATTGTGGGCTTAGATATAAAATGCAGGAATATCTATGGGAAATGTTGGGTCTTCCCTCATTTTTCCATTGAAGGATATCATTATTCTTTTCAAACATAAATAGAAATGGGATCAAAATCATGAAAGAATGTCATTTATGTGATTGAGCTATTGACTAGTATAAATCACTATTAAGGCCTCATCTCAATTTTCTAGGAATTGGCTATTCATCATGGCTGGAGACTTCCTGAGTATACCCTTTCCCAGGAGGGCGGACCTGCTCATAAGAGAGAATATACCACAATTTGCAGGCTGGAGTCATTTATGGAAACTGGTACTTATTTCTTTTTACCTCATAGAATTTGTAAACCAAAATTAATTTTAGATTGTAATAAAGAATAAAAAGCATTTACTTGAGCAAAAGGAGCTACAGCCTGGAAGACAGATTTAGGTAGCAACCTAAAGTGTGTTCCACTGAGATGAAGGGGAGGCCGCCTTTCATATCAAACATTTCCACCCAGGTTCCCAATTCGGTCTGTTTTATGTAAATAAGGCATCCACATTATACAGTCTGATTGGATGGGGCAGGTCTTAGTCTGTTGGTAGAATGAGGAAACCGAAGTTTCCCTGCAGTGATTGACTCAGAAGGCATAAACAAACCAGGCATAGTGCATGCAGGAAGCCGAGAGTACTGTCTGATGTTCTTCCTGGTCTACAGAGTACGTGAGGAGCCCCTGTCAGCAAATGGCCTCTAGGCTCTTATTATTTATAAAATGTGGGCCCTTGGTTGACCATGGGAGTCCATCTTAGCAGATAAATTCCTTCTCATCAAGTGAATCTTTCTTCTCGGGGTCCACAAATTGAAGATATTTTAAATATTTTCACATGATGTATGACCATAGAAATTTCTGTTATGATATCTTTTCAAATATTTCTGTCGGGAAAAAAGTTGACAAACTCCTGTTCTTTCTCTAACTTTGTGGTTGAATTTAAGTATAATATTTGACTTAAGACTACTTATACTACTTAATATGATATATTTTTTTTAAATCATGAGTTGTTAGCAGAAAGACAAATAATAACTCTTTAAGCAGTCTTCATTGATGTATTAGTGACCTAAAAAACTCATTTAGAGAAAAAGAGCAATAGTAAATCTCTTGGAGTTTGAGCAGCTATTCTAGAAGATAGGACTAGAAAAAAGATGACATTTGAAAATAATATGATTCATAAGAAGGTGGATGGTAAAACATCGCAGTGAGATAACAATAAAGCAGAAATTATCCTTTTGCATTATAGCAACTTCTATGTTGTGAAGGCCACAAACTATAAGAAAAAAAGTCAGTAAAGTACTAGTAAGGATTCCTATATTAACTTTTCTAGCATGTTTTTATCATTTTTAAAGTGGCTTGGAATTTTACCTGGCTACATTTGAGTTTCCACTAATCAACTTTTTGCCCTCGAGAGAGGTCGTGTTCTTGAAGCAGTCCTTGATTTGCAAGTTAAACAAATTACTTAAGTTCCCTGAGCCTCAGTTTTTAAATCTAGAAAACAGAAGCATGAAAGTATATGAAATGTATGGTGTCTTTCAACTTCAGCATCTCCTATGCCCTTCTTATTCATGTTCAAGGAATTCTGCATAGTTGTCAGTTTATAGGAAATTGTAAGCAGGAAATATATATTGAGACATAGGAGTTATAATTCAAGTGTACCTTGATAAATTTGGTCAGAATTAAACCAAATATAACTCGTTAAAAGTAGGTATAGGGAAATATAACTGTTACAGAAAAACAAAGTATAACTATTAAAGATGAATTGTTAAAAGAAATACCTTCAAAAATATAAGATTATCTATATGAATCACAACAAGCAAAGATGTCAGGTCAGCAGAAGAATAAACTAGTATATAAAAACCATGAGGTTGTTCTCTGATTAAATGCAATGTACATTTGATCATTCTCTATGGACACTAATTTCTTTTCTAAACCTACCATTTCTTTTTCTTTATTTAGGAAAGGGAGCATCAAAAAAACAAGCCAAGAGAAATGCCGCTGAGAAGTTTCTTGCCAAATTCAGTAACATTTCTCCAGAGAACCACATTTCTTTAGTGAGTAATAATCATACAGCTATGGTGTTAATGTAATTAAGCATCTCTTGCTGTAGGAAACTTTCCTAGATTTCTCGTTCTAGAGATACTTCAGAGTTGAACTTGTAAAAAAAAAAATCTCTTTATTTTTTAGTTACACACTACCCCATTTCACTTGCTGTATGTGAGCCAGGATCACAGGATGACCAAGTGAAAGGGCTTGAGACATAGTCAAATTCAGAATAATACGATGGGATCTAAAGATGATAGTCCAGTAGTGTCATTTTTGCCTTCAGATTGACAGTGTGTTCCCATCCCTTTGTTCATTCATTCATTTATCCACTTAGCAAACATTTAGTGACCTCATACTATGTGCCAAGCTTTGTGCTGGGTACTGGCACACAGAGAATAAGATAGTCTCTACCCCTAAGATGTTTATAGCCTACTGAAAGAGAGAAAATAACCCTACAGACTGGTCTTCACAGAGGGAGCTATAGGAATATAGGAGAAGGCATCCTACTAAGTAAAAGCTAAGTGAAGACCTATAAGATGAGGATGGGGGAAAGAATCTCAGAGAGAAGAAAGAGCGTGTGCAGAGACCCATGGACGAAACATCACATGGGTCTAGAAACCCTAAGTAATTTGGTATGGCTAGAGCATAGCACTGGAGGGAGTCTAAAACCGTCAGACCAGAAAGGTTAAGAGGAATTAAATCTTGCAAGAATTTCTATATTAAGGAGATTGAACTTTATCCTGAGGGTAGTACAAAGTCATTAAAGAATTTTCACCTGGAAGGACAGGATCTAATTTATACATTAGGAGAGAAATCACTTGGCTACATTATGAAGAATGAATGAATATTAGAATCAGAGAGACATGCTAGAATGCTGTTATAGAAAGCAGATGAGAAATAATGGTGGCCTAACTAAGATAGCATTAGTAGAAATAGTGGATTTAAAAATTATTTAGAAAACTAAAGTGAAGGGGCATGGTTATTCATTGGATGAGGGGAGTAAGGATAAAGGAAGAAATAAACATTTTTAGCTTGGCAACTGAATAGATGGTACCATTCATTAATATGGGGAATACAAGAGTTGAGTAGCATTTGAGGGGGAGCAGATAATGAGCTAAATGTAGGATATATTGAATTTGAAGTGTCTGTGAAGTATCTAAGTGAAGATATTGAGTAGGCAGCAGGGCATACAGATAATAGACCTTAAGAGATTGGGCCACACATGATATATTACTTAATGTTCTGATAGTTGTACATACGTATGTCTTGTCCGTTATCTGAGAGTAGTATATTAGATAGAAAATGAGAAGTGAGGACTACAGCAGTATCCTCACTGAGCTTTTAATAAAAGAAGGCTTATTCTGTAGAACAAAGTCAAAGACTGTACATAAGTAATATAATTTCGGTTTTATTTTTTAATGGAAAATATAGGCATAGCCAAAGACCCACACCCATACCACTGCCCCCACCTCTGCATGCATAAGCAAGCATGCACACACTCCAGTCACCCTCACAGCCCCCAGTCCATACCCACAGTTCCCCCACCCAGGGCACATACCCCAAACCAACCTCCATAAACACCCACTCATACTCAAACCCACTCACTCCCAGCCCCCCCTCCCATGCCCA